AGACCTCTTCATTTATAGTTCTCTGGCGCTCTAGGGCAAAGCTTCTCCATTTTTTCTTTATGGGTTTAAAGGTCGGGTTAATGCTAAGTTTGTGAGTGATGACTATGGAATCAATCCCCTGCATGTCTTCTTGCTTCCACACGAAGACCTCGATGTTTCTTTTCATTAACTAGATTTGAAGTTTTTTGATTTCTTTGAGCAGTCTTGATCCCATATACAAAAAGTGCTTTGGGTCTTCGTTGAGTTGGATTGGCTCCAGCTCTTCTAAAGGCTTGGGCCTTGTTTCCAACACGTCCCTCAAGTCAAGCTCATCCAGTTGTATGACCTCAATCTCATTCTTTTTCATCTCGTGCCATTTGTTGATCTCCTCGGACCACTCAAATGCCATTTTTAGTAAGAAATTTCATCACTAGATATTAGGCAGAGGGAATAGCCCTCATGGCGTTGAGGGATGGTCTCCCTACTGGAACATTGTATGTTGATGCGGCATCGATGACCAAAAATCTCATTGTGGTGATGGACTGGTAGGGAGGGTCTCCCATTGTAAGAACGAGTTGGATTGAGTCCAAGAGTAGCACCCTCTCTCCACAGAATCCTAGCAGGTCAGTTCTTATTAGCTCAAGCTTGTCTCTATCAATGTTCAACTTGTCGAAGGCTGATGCAAAGATGACATCGACAGAGCTTCCATTATCAATTAGAACCCAATGGACGGTCTTGTTGGCGATGATAGCCCTTACTACCAATGGATCATCGCGAGGATGGTGGCAGCCTTCGAGGTCTGAGTCAGAGAAGGTAATATGCACGCTTAGTCGAGGAGTTTTGGACATACCCTGTACTTCCAAGACGTTCTTTGCTCTGACTTTTCGCATGTGGGTTTTTCTGGCTGAGCTGGTTTCTCCACCTTTAGTGAATCCTCCTGATATTACCCTGATATTGTTTATGTAAAAGAGGTTGTTGTTGGGGTGTTGGAGGTGGGTGAGCTCGATTATGATTGTCTTGCGCCACGAAGCAGCGCAACTATCCTCTCTGAATTAGGAATTCAATCTCCTTCTTCAGCTGGATGCAATTATTGGTGAGATGGTTGTGGTTCTGGTGATATTCACAATATTTCATTGTGTCCCTTTTTGCGGGGTCAGCCTTCATCCGCGGTGGCCACCTTAAGAACTTCTCATTTTGTATTTCATAAAATACCTAAGATACTATGACATTGAGAGGAGTAAACTACCATGGTGTGTACCTCAGTTGTAGCTCTTCAGGTAAAGGTCCTAGACCATCTCTAATATCCCCTCTCCTCTTTGTAGAGCGCTCCCCGTCTCTTCGTGGAGAGCGTTCTCGATTCCTCTCCTTCCTTGGACTTCGATCCTTCCTCTTCTCCTTCTCCTTGTGGGTAGTCGAGCTCCCAACTTTGGAGATAAGAGATTCCTCGCCATTAATATATATCTCTGCCTTGGCAAGGACCTCAATAATACTGGCTTACAGGTTCTTGGAGATCGAAACATTAAGTCCTTGGATTGAACTTCTAGCCCGGCGATGAATGCCGTGAGGGAAAATGGGATCCTAAGTTGAACCTCTGAACGTAACTTCGCAGTTTTTCGTTTGGACATTGTTTCACGTTCAATAAGTGGTAGCTCAACTTCCGGTAAGTTCAAGCTCTTACGAAATATGACACAAATTATATTGAGAGCTCCCTAAACGAAAAAATAGAAGCTGGGGTCAGTCTATTGAAGCAAGCTAAGACTGAGCCCTTCAGTGTGATGGCGAAAGCTCGACATCTCACTAGGTCTTGATAACCATGCATCTCCATCTGATTTTTGTAAGTGTTGAGATGGTCTATGGGATCCCTTGTCCCATCAAAGACCTTTACCTTTGGCATTCTGAATTTTAGTGGAAGGAAGATTCTGTCTGTTGGACTAGAGCGTCCATAGTCACCAGAGTCTTGCCCCTTACGGCCTTCTTTATGCGACTGAGCTCTTGTTGAATCTCTTTGAAGCGTTGTTCCCAAAAACTGCTCCTTTCTTTCCTGTTGGAATGGGGGATGCTCATTCCTGTGAGTTCCCCTGTTCTGGCTTTGTACTTCCTCTTCATCCTCGTTCTTTTGAATTCGATGGTGGGCATTGCCAATTGTCTAGTTGTGCTCATCCCTCTCTGTAATGTCATTTAGGGGATTGAGATGTTGATGTTCTCCACGTGGGGGATCATTCTGGACATGTTATTGTTTAATGTTACTATATATAAGAAATAATAGAAAAATAATTTTAATGCTAGAATAATTTTCAAAGAGTTGTTATATTTGAAAAAATTGAAACTAACAATAATATTCAGTATTTATGGTGGGGATAATTAGATAATACAAAAAAAATTGAAATGTGTACTTAATGACAATAATTTGATAAAAAAAAAGGACTTAATGGAGTATAAGTTTGCCTATGGAACTTAAAACCAAATAACTTTTAAAAATATTACTCACGACCAATTATCCGCAAAAATAAGAGCCAAATAAAAAAAAGGGAATAGACAATAATGATGATTCAATGTAAAAAAGAAAAATTGAGGATTTTTGGGGAACCCAAAATTCTGCAAACAGTGATGCTACAACGATGCAATTTTTTCCCTTTTTCTCTAATTTTATCTATTTTTGTTTTCTTTGATTTACTTTCATTTTGTTATCCTGAATATAGTTTTTCTCTTGAATTGTCTTACATTCAACTCAAATCATTTCAGTAATAAAAAAACTTGAATCGCTTTATAATTTTTTTTTGTGTTTTAATTAGTTTTAACTCATAGATTTGAATCATGTACATATTTAGGTAGTCTCCTTATTACTTTAATAGGGATAATTTGTGTCCGAAGTCACGGTGTAATTAAAGAAAATCGAACATTGAATTTGAACATGAAATAATTAAGCACTGAAAAAAAAACATTAAATTGCTCGTCCACAAATTGCATCAATTTTAACTGGTGCACACCACCTTGGCAACAACAAAGAAGGGAAAAAAAATAGGAGCAAAACAAAAAACAACACATGAACCAATTTTTTTTTTTTTCCAGAAAGCACGTGTACTAAAAAATTAGAATTGGATGGATAAATTGAATTAATAAAAATTAGGATTTCTTTTTCAAAAAACACTGTAATAAAACAAAAGACAAATTGGATTGATAAAAATTAGAAATTCAAAAATGATGATGGTAATGATTCTATCCACATTTCTGCTTATTAAAATTAGAAAACTAATGAGAAAATCATTTTCAACAGAGTATCAATCACCAAGGACTTAAATTTATAAGCTGCTCGGGTGATGGTAATGTCTACCAACGTTTCTTCCCATTAAAATTAGAAAAATTCCAGCATAACATTTATCATCAAAGACTGAAGGAAGGACGTCACAATTACCCACAATGTGTACCACTCATCATCATCCCCATGTGGAAATGCATACAAACATGAAGAAGCAGTTTAATAATTTAACGTCTACAACTGTTGCAGTAAAATGCAAATCATAGTTCCTAGCACCGAGGACTGAGTAATGCAAGAAAATTACACAAAAAAAATTAGAAATAAACTTACCTTGCACTGAGGACCGAGTAATGCAAGAAATATGCAGGCACTCCAACAGTTGATTTTGGTTGTGAATGTAGCACCGAGGGCTGAGTAATGCAAGATAAGATTCAAGATAAAATTCTGTCTGCATGTATGCAAGTTTTGCGGAGAGAGAGAAAGGTCGGGTTCTACTTTCTATCCTATATGCAAGTTTTCGATAAAGATCATCAACCACTATGTAAAATAGATCATCAGCCAAAATATTAAATGGATAAAGAATTTCAAGTAATTTTACATTTCAAGTGATTTTAAATTTCAAGTAATACAATGAGCATTGAGTAGCTAGCTGTTGGAACCTACATGCGAAGGAAACAAAATCGCTAAAGTGACGAAGTTCAGAACAAAACACTCAGAGCTTAGACTTAAACTTAAAAACTTTCGAGTGAAGTACGAAATGCGAGAGGTGAATAAATTGCCCAAAGCCCCAACAACTTAGCAAACCAAGCTCATGGTTTAAAATATCAAGTGAAATGGTGAATGAGACTATTGCCAATTTGCCACAAATCAGATACAGAACTTGCATCTGTGTGTGCGAACACTGCTTGAAAAACATAACCTTTTCCCAAGGGGATGTGCAGGTGTTGAGGTTTAGTAGTTGGTGTGGTTTTCCAATATATGAAGAAGACTTTGGTTGGGGAAGATATGATGGTTGAAGCAGACCATAACCATTATCATCTGAATTAACAAAAATGGCACATACAAACAGTAAAAAGCTTAACCCACAGCTCAGCCATCATACCAAACAACAGATACATTAATTACACTCAAATGGTAAAGGTTCTGCTTCAAACAGCTTGGAATTACAACATAAGTGTGCAGTTAAATTTGAAAATCATAGTTCTTTACAACATAAGTGTGCAGTTCTTTAACATTAACATTGATGAAGCAGTTCTTTACAACATAAGTGTATAGTCATTTGTGAATGCACAAAGAGTGTGAAAGACTCACAAAGCGTGTGAAGCTTACTGAAGCAGAGCAACACCTGCACCTTTCAAGCTTATGGATAAATGAATACAAAACAACATGTCAATTCGTCATCAAGAGACATATAGCATCTAAGACGTAATAATGATAGTAATAATGGTATCGGAGAGGGGGGGGGGGGGGGGGGTTCCTCAGATTCGTTGGGAAGACCAAGCTTTGTAGCCAGGTAGGTTTTAACAACGTCAGCTTTTTCACTCTTTGTAACCAGGTAGGTTCTAACGTGCAGTTGCTCTAGGTTGGGCTGGGTTGGGTTGGGTTGGGTTGGGATGTTTTTTGGGGAGAAAATATATGGGGGATAAAATTTCAAAGGGATAGCTGTTTTATTATATAGATTGTACATTCTTAACGAGTTGGGGGCAATCGAAATGTAGGCAGACAGTCGGAAAGAGGAGAGTCTCACGAGTTCTGGTGTGGATGATCAAGTGTTAGACATTTGATTTAGGGCTGTAGTGAAAGCTAACTTGCGTATTTCCGCCGCTTCTCCATTTTGGCTAGCTTGATTAACAAATTGAAGCATCTGTTTGACAACTTTGTCTCGAAGGAGGCCATGCAGTGACTCTAGCTTTTGTGGGTGGGTCAAGTATATGTTCAAGGCTTTACGGATGAGTCGCCATTCTTCTGCTGCAGACATCCACAAAATCGCAAGATCGTAATGTTCAAGTACTGTGATAGCGTCGGGGATTTTCCGACTAGAGCAGGCCTCTTCATTCTTCTGAAAGTTTTCTCTAGCCATTTCTGGTTTAGAAGTTACACAGCCTAACCGGATAGTCATGAGAGGGCCATGCTTCCTGCTTAGCTTCGCCAAAGACTCGTAGGGTTTGCTACCAATGTCGAAAAGGTTTCCGATGAGAGGGAAGCCAATGGAGCCTGGTGGGGTTTCTTCTCCGAAATACTCCAAGGCCATGGATGATTATGAAGAAAAACAGAGAGGATAAAAGAAAGCTTAAGAACTCCATGTAAGTCGTGTGTATCATTATAGGTGATTCAGATAGATACTTATTGACCTCTCACCCATGCATGCTTGTATAAATAGGGAGGATTATAAGTGACACGTGTTTTATTTGTTGGGTACTGTAGCCGGAGGAATTGTTGTAAAAAACTCACATTTGTTGACTCTCTTTTCCATATTTTCGAGATTTTTATATGTTTTTATAGTCTATAAATTAGGAAAAGAGTAATGTTATACGAATTTAAAAAATAGATTGAAAATTAAATTTAATAATTATAATTATTAATTTCACTGTAGGTCTCAGTATTTATTAAAATCTACTATCTATTTAATAGTTGAAATTATCAAGTTTATTTTTAAAATCAATCTAGTATTACTCGTAGGAGAACAATGTTTTTTTGTTTGTAGGGTGTTGGGGGGAGGAGGGAGTGGTAAAGGAGAACAATGTTATTAATTACTCTTATTAGAACGTATGGTAATTTCTCTTGGTTTTTAATACCAATTGTCGAAAACTTTCCAGCTAAACAGCAAGAAATGCGTCATCCAGATGCAACACCAAGGAAATCTCTCCCCCTTTTCTCTCTCTCTCTCTCTCTCAACAACTTGAAAATGTATGAACTAGCATTTAATTAAGGCGATGGTCAAAACGAGTAGTCGGTGATGGAGTAAATATATGCAAATTTATTTTATAGCCTCTTTACACCAATCAATTGACTGCAAATATTTTTTATAATCAAAGCATGTTGATTCCAGTTGTAACGCAATTCAATTGCCTCGACTCTTCATTTACGTTTATTACTTTTTGTATTATTTATTTTTATTAAACAAAGTCCAGCATAGCACTATTAAAATTACCAAATTATTTAAATTAATTTCTTTTTATTTTATCAATAAAACATATTGTTGTGGGGGGTTTTGAGTTTACCATTACCAACTAATTGATATAAAATATGGTAGTGCAAAATGACGAAGGGCCAAATACGTAAATATCCAAATTGTAATTGTAAATAAGAGCCATTGTTAAAGTTCATTAATAACAGCCTATTTATTTATTACATAATATCCAAATACGTATTATCCATCAATGAATTAAAATAATATTTATTAAATGTGAAAAAGGGACGAAAAGATGAGTAAATTTAAATTTGAAATAATTTTAAAAAATAGTGAGAGCAGTTACAAAAGATAGAGGGAGTAGTTAAATAAGCCAAACAAAATAATTTGATTGAAAGGATTATAAATTAAGTATTTAGGGGGAAGTTTGTCAAGCCTTCGCATACAAAAAATATTTATTTTATGTATAACAGATTGTTCGAAAATTTTCATCCCACCTTCATCCATTAAAATCTCTGTTCCTCGAATCAGAGTTAAAATTCTCGTTCTTCTTGTAATTTTTGCAGTACTTGCTCTTCATTAGCAAGACTTCTCATGTTAACTCACACGGATTTTCAATGTAAATTGATTTTTCCTTTTTGGAGGGTCCAACGCCCTGCATCAACAGCAATACAGGAGAACACACAACCAGCCACATCTTGCCAAAAACCGATAGGCCGAACTACTTTAGACATGCTCCACTTATTCGACATAAAATATGAACAAAAATAGAAGATTTGAATTTAATCTTAATGAGTTTACATAATAAATAAATAGACCTGTTAAACTTATTAAATAAATGAGTCTGGTACAATCTTGATAAATATTATTTATACACTATTTTTATACGATAAAAACCTTGTTATATACAATTATCAAAAAATTGAATATGAATAAAATAAATTTTAATACTAAATTTTTGTGTTATCGGTGGTGTCTTGAAAATGGACAAAAAGAAAAAGAATTACTTGACTACAACCTAATTGCAAATAATCTAGTTTTGAATCAATAGCATTAGGAGGCTAACGATTAGCCTAACGGCCACTGCCCCGTTGTTGGACCTTAAGATCACGAATGGTAACCTTGTCATCCCCCTCCTTTGAAATAATGCCTGACCCAAAAAAAACAAAACAAAAGCATTAGGCTGTTGTGCAATTGTCATAGATTGTGGATGTGAATAACAAAATATGTTAACAAGTCTCTTACATGTTTACTAGGGATTATTTGGGATAAAAAATATGCAGGAACTTATTTCTCATTGAAAATACTTTTAGTCACTAAAAGTAAATTTTTGGGGATGAATTTTGTCCATTTGTAGAATTTCTAGAATTGTCGGATGAAAGTGCAAGACTGCAAGTCTCCTTGTTTTCAAAATCATATTTCTATTGGTGAACATCTTGTAATGATATATTCCAATCGGGCCTTCCAACTCACGGGCGCTAGTAAACGAGAAAAAGAAAGTTTTGAAATTTTATTTTGTTAAAATCAAAATTCTCACTGTTAATATTTATGTGTTTGCCTCACATCGGTTAGACTAGAAAACTTTACTACTCTTTTGTACTATAAATAAACCTTCTTATGTATATGATAAATTACACAGCAGCAATATACAGTTGCTATTTATTTCCTATTCCCTTATTTCTCAGGGTATCAAGTCCTAGGTTCGTGAATCCTTCAGGTCAAGGATAATATGCTCTACGGTTGTCCTACGAAGGATCCTCCAGATCAGAACTTTTGAGGCTCTTGTCCTTTCGACTATCCTTCGGCAACATTTTGATTGCCTCCCTGCCATCCTCCGATGAATTCCCGATCGTCCTCCAGCAACGTTCCAATCTCCTCTCGGTTGTCCTCCGGTGACTTTACGGTCATCATCCGACGATGTTCCGATCGTCTCTCAGCCATCCTTCGGCATTCCTTGGTTGTCCTCCGACGACTTTCCAATCATCCTAATCCAACATTCCGATCACTTCTCGACCATCATCCAGCAACCTCTGGCTGTCCTCTGACAGCTTTTTGGTCGTCCTTTGACGATGTGCCAAACTGCCCCAACCAATTTTTTGTGCTCATTCTAGGCAAGATGGGTCCATTTCACTGATGTAGTCATGGTTGCTGCACTGTTTAGCTCCTTTACTCTAGCCACTCCTACTAAGGCAACTTCTTTGCCTTATCTTACTGTAGCTAATCTTGAGCCAATTGTGACCAAGGTTCTATCTTGTTCTTTCATTGCCTTATTATTCTCCTTAGGTAAATCTTATCCTTGGTTTATCAAATCAATATGTTACAATCATATGACATCTGATTCTTTCCTGGTGTCTCATAAGAAGTCTTTAAACTATGTACCGCACATATATACTACTGATGATTCACACGTGTGTGTTACTCATGATGGTCCTATTTCTACCCTTAGTCTTTTTCGACTTGACACGTATCTTGTTTATAAATCTTCTTTTTGTTGGTCAACTTGTTAAATGTCAGTTTTATCTTAACCTTTTCTCATAAACAGTGTGATGTGCAAGATTAGAAGACGGGCCAACAGGACCAGGCATAAAGTTGGCCGCCTTTTTGAGCTTACATATCTGCAAATTCCTAACTCATGTTCTGTTCAACCTCTTGCTGCTAGTGTATTTCAATATTTGACACTCTCATCTTGGTCATACATTTTTACATCATGACCAGTCTTTAGCTTCTACTGGTTGTTTAATAGATGTTAAATTTGAATTGTTTAATTGTATGTATTCTCAATTGGGTAATAGAAAGCTTTACCTTTTAGTGGAAGTGATTCTTTGTTTTCTACACCTTTTGATTTGACTCATTTTGATATTTGGGGACTTGCTTCTATCTTTACTAAGGGTGGGTTTCATTATTTTGTAATTTTTATTGATAATTAACGAGCCCAAAATCAACTGGGCAAGCCCATTAAATCAATAAGGAGCCCAAGTCACCAGAGCCCAAAAGGAGCCCAAGTCGCCTGAGCCCAAAGGAGACACCCAAGGGGGCAGTGCCCAAAGGAGACACCCAAGGGGTGCCACCCAAGGGGGTCACCAAGCCCTTGGCGCCACCCATGGGTTGGCCCTCTTGGCTCTCCTTCATTCCACACTCTCCCTTCCTCATATGGGCGTCGCCTCAATGGTCTCCCTCCTCACTTTGTCACTGTCGACCCAGTCTGACCCAACTCAAGATCCAAGAAGCCCGAAGGGATAGGAGCACGTGAGAGAGAATATCAGGATATGCATTCATAGAGATCTAGTCTTACCTTAATTATACTTACCAAAATAGTAGAGCCCTCTCCCTCACGTCACCGCCTCACCGTACCTATATAATGTAAGCTCTCTCCACATAAAAGACACGACCTTGAGACCTCAAGACACCTCTACATCTCACACACCAAGTTTCTCTCTTCCAAAGAATTGTAATTCCCCCGGAATGTACTCTCCCGGTTACAATATTCATCAATAAAGATCTCTAGCCACCGCTGTCGTTCCCAAGAGCGAAGTAGGTCACTCGGACCGAACCACTATATATCCTTGTGTTGACTCATTATTTACTGTTTTGTCATTGATTGCCTATTTATTGCTCATTAATTACATCATTGCATATACTCGACTGTTGATCTTGCGTAATAACAATTTGTGCATCATCAGTAATTATTCACGATACACATGGCTTTATCTTTTTACATTATCGTTCTTAGTTACTTAATATCTTTCGTAATTTTACGTAGATGATAAAAACTCAGTTTGACTGCATTATTAAAATCTTTCATTCTGATAACGCCAAGGAGTATAAGGTTGTCTCGTTCATTGCAGAAAATAAAAAGACAGACCACTTGTCTCATCGATCATGTCTTTACACCTCCCAATAGAATGGTTGTGTAAAACGTAAGCATCATCACATTCTTTACACTGTCTATTCTATTATTCTCTCCGCCACTCTCTCGGAATCTTTTTGGGGAGACGTCGCTCTTACCGGTGTTTATACTATTAATCAAGTTCCGTCTCCTACTATTCCTAATCGATCTCCAAATGAACTTCTCTATGGAAAGTTTTGTTTTACTTCCACCTCATGAGCATATAAAATTTAAA